TAGTTAATCTTATTCCAGTGTCTTAAAATACAAGCCTTGATATGAATGAGAAAGTGTTTGAACTGCACAGAGCTGTCCCTGGAGCAGGAGTCAGCTCTCATTTCATGTTTCCATATTCACAAGAGAGAAGACAACACCAGATAAATATACCAACACAGAAATAGACTTGTAAAAAATAGACCTGGACTTATAGGCAAAAAACCCCATTGAGTCCCCGCTCAAGAGGGAGCTAGACTGTTACAGGGAATGCCTCCTCAAGAACTGTCACCAAACTCTAGAAAAGGAGAGGAAAGAGGAGAGGACTAGGACTGACAAGGAGAGTTGAGAGGAGATAAGAGGAGAGGGGAGAAGAGAGCTGTGTTCTGTGCATGTCGACAACTTTGTAAAGCCCTCCTAGATACAGTGCCTTGCGAAAGTATTCGGCCCCCTTGAACCTTTCAACATTTCGCCACATTTCAGGCTTCAAACATAGATATATAATTTAAATTTTTTGTCATGAATCAACAACAAGTGGGACACAATCGTGAAGTGGAATGACATTTATTGGATAATTTAAACTTTTTTGTGGGGTTTAAAGTGGGGCGTGCAATATTATTCGGCCCCTTTACTTTCAGTGCAGCAAACTCACTCCAGAAGTTCAGTGAGGATCTTTGAATAATCCAATGTTGTCCTAAATGACTGATGATGATAAATAGAATGCACCTGTGTGTAATAAAGTCTCCGTTTAAATGCAACTGCTCTTTGATAGTCTCAGGGTTCTGTTTAAAGCGCAGAGAGAACCATGAAGACAAAGGAACACACCAGGCAGGTCCGAGATACTGTTGTGGAGAAGTTTAAAGCCGGATTTGGATACAAAAAGATTTCCCAAGCTTTAAACATCTCAAGGAGCACTGTGCAAGCAATTATATTGAAATGGAAGGAGTATCAGACCACTGCAAATCTACCAAGACCCGGCCGTCCCTCCAAACTTTCATCTTAAACAAGGAGAAGACTGATCAGAGATGCAGTCAAGAGGCCCATGATCACTCTGGATGAACTGCAGATAACTGCAGCTGAGGTGGGAGAGTCTGCCCATAGGACAACAATCAGTCGTGCACTGCACAAATCTGGCCTTTATGGAAGAGTGGCAAGAAGAAAGCCATTTCTCAAAGATATCCATAAAAAGTCTCTTTTAAAGTTTGCCACAAGCCACCTGGGAGACACACCAAACATGTGGAAGAAGGTGCTCTGGTCAGATGAAACCAAAATCAAACTTTTTGGCCACAATGCAAATCGATATGTTTGGCGTAAAAGCAACACAGCTCATCACCCTGAACACACCATCCCAATGGTGTAGGTTTGGTTCCAATCTTGGTGGGGACATTCACTACGACCTGAGTCTACACCCATTGACACGGGGTCCAGAGTTTCTCCCCCAGAATTTGTTGTGTAATCACACACTATATTTGCAATAGTGTGTTGCCTTCTATACTAAACTCAGCTGTAGACTGAATGAGAAGCAGTTAAGGATTTTTTCTAATAGTTAAAACAAAATCAATTGGATCAGAGCTTCTGAGTTTTGTGTTGCGTTCATTCTATACTGACTTAAACCTAATCCAAATCTACATAATAGCCCTCACCTGAGGCTCTAACAGTTCAGGAACTGCTCTCGATACTTGAAATTAATCATGCTCTGATCTTTCAATTTCCTATAATAAATAAAAACAGAGGAGAAAATATTGAATTAGAATCTACAGTGAGTAGCTCACTACATTGTTTGACATATACGATCAATCTCTAAAAACAATTCATAGTCCCATGCATACCTACAAAATTCCAACCTCACCTGATGCACTGAAGGGCCTGTTGCTTCTACCTCAACATTCCCTATATTGTTCTCTCTTGGTGGTTGAGTTTCCTATGTATGTTAACAGAAGATTAATCATCACAATTCATAATTGGCTATTACTTGTGCTTTCTCTTACTTACTTTCCAACTGTTAAAAAAGCTCTTTATCTTTTTTGTGGAGGTGGCATTTTTTCTAAATTATATAAGAAGGTATAGACAATCAAAAACAGACATTCATATACATGAACTGCAGAATCATTTATATAACTTGGCCAATGTCAAAAGTTACATAGTATTTCTCAATACAATGAGTTAACAAGAGTTTGGCAATAAGTAACAGTGTGGATTTTTCTATATTTTCTTTTTTTTTATTCCACTCTCAACCCAAAAAGGCAAGTAATGACTCACAGGGCTCTCAAGTATGCAAAATAAAAACTTAAATGACCTGTTGTGGTGTGTTTTGCACACAACCAGCATGCATCGTTAACGCAATGGAAAATTTAGGTATCCGAGCTTTAATTTCGGGAGCGCTGGTTGCGCTTTGGGAAGAGTCAGGGGAGAGACATGTCAGAGACACAGGGGAGAAACGGGGGAGATTCGAGGGAGACCCGCACTTGCAACATGGTTCTGTCTGCATATGGTCCGAGCTCGGTACCATGTTAGAGCTGTGCTTTCACTGAGCGCCGCGGCTGTCATTACAAAGCGGCAGCAGCTGCACCAGGACGTGCACATTCGAGTGCATCGCTTGAATGTGCTTAGAGCAAATAACAGCAAGTGCCCGCTGTCACACATTTCACAGAAATTACATTATCAGCAGATAAAGGTTGTAAATCGTGGATCCGTGGAATATTTTCATCCCTAGTTTATCCTGATTCACACAACACACCCACTTATACATTTTGGATAGTAAGAGCACAATAAGTATTTTTTCAGCCTTTCAACCAACCTGTTTCTTTATTGGAGCCAGTTCTGTTCTGTGTCTGTATGCCGTGTGAGCTCCTCGGAACATTAAACAGTGCGCTGACAGATTAGAAATAACGTAAGTACTTTGAATGGTAATAGATCTACAGTACTTTCCTCTGATTACTCACGTGCTACAACGCTCAGGGAAAGAAAAAAAACACTTGCTTCACGCTGGCTAACTTTTAAAAATTAAACAGTCGCTCAGTGCTACAGTTTGGCGCTGAAGAAGACAGCCAATCACTGCAGAGAACGGAACGGGTCACGTGCTGCTGCTGCTGCTGTTGCTCTGGAGGCGAGGAGGAGGCGCGACGTATGCACAAACGGAAGACATGTGTCCCGGACCGTCCGGGTCACGGGACATCATGTCATTTTGGTGGGGACTTTTTAGTCCTCACCAAATATTGGTGGGGACATGTCCCCATGGCCCCCACGCAAACCTACGCCCTTGCACCATCCCCACTGTCAAACATGGTGGTGGCAGCATCATGGTTTGGGCCTGCTTTTCTTCAGCAGGGACAAGGAAGATGGCTAAAATTTATGGAAGATGGATGGAGCCAAATACAGGACCATTCTGGAAGAAAACCTGTTGGAGTCTGCAAAGGACCTGAGACTGGGACGGAGATTGATCTTCCAACAGGACAATGATCCAAAACATAAAGCCAAATCTACAATGGAATGGTTCAAAAATAGACGTATCCAGGTGTTAGAATGGCCAAGTCAAAGTCCAGACCTGAATCCAATCGAGAATCTGTGGAAAGAGCTGAAGACTGCTGTTCACAAACGCTCTCCATCCAACCTCACTGAGCTCGAGCTGTTTTGCAAGGAAGAATGGGAAAGAATTCCAGTCTCTCGATGTAAAAAACTGATAGAGACATACCCCAAGCGACTTGCAGCTGTAATTGCAGCAAAAGCAAAAGGGGGCCGAATAATATTGCACGCCCCACTTTTCAGTTTTTTATTAGTTAAAAAAGTTTAAATTATCCAATACATTTCGTTCCACTTCACGATTGTGTCCCACTTGTTGTTGATTCTTGACAAAAAAAAATATTTTTTTCCTTTATATTTGAAGCCTGAAATGTGGCAAAATGTTGAAAGGTTCAAGGGGGCCGAATACTTTCGCAAGGCACTGTAACTAATGTTGTTATTTAGGGTTATACAAAGATACATTGAATTGAATTTAATGAAATATATTTTACTCAGCTTTAGATGGGAAACACTGATCACTGCATGTTTTGTTAGAGGTCAATGGTCACTCAAACAAGTCAGGGTTCTAAGTCATGTTCTCAAGTCCCAACTCAACAACTGCAAGTGGTTGGGGAAACCGAAGCACCTGGAGGGAACTTAAAGGTAAGCAAGAGGATTTTCTACATCCAGGTGGATCATCAAGACTATAGGTCCTAACAATTGCAAATTCATACTGAAAGACCGAGAGCAAATTCCCCCTTCCAAGCCAACCAATCACACAGCTCTGCCAGCCTCGAGCCTCTGCCAATCAGCCTCCTGCCAACCCTATATGTCAGCAAAGCGGGCAGTTTAAAAAGGCAGCCACTTCCTGACAAGCAGCGCTTCCTGGAGCTCTTAACACCCACCACCTCCCTAGCACGTCCTCCGGCTCCCGCTCTAGGCTCCCGCTCTGGCACTTGCTCTAGCTCCCACTCTGGCTTCTGCTTCTAGCCACCACCAATGCTTGACCCCGGGGGATCTGAGATCATCTTCAGCTGCAATCGATCTCATCGCTGCAAGTGTCACTGCCGGGTCAATGCGCCAAATAAAACATTTTATGTATTAATTGTGTCTTTAGTCTCGTCAGATTGAAATGTGCTTATTTGATAGGGATAGAACCAAAAGCATTGTTACAGGGCCCGATGTTATGTTCATAGGGCGGCACGGTGGCTGAGTGGATAGCACTCTCGCCTCTCAGCAAGAAGGTCCTGGGTTCGAATCCCGGCCGGACCAGGGCCTTTCTGAGCATGGAGTGAGTGCTAAGGGATGGCACGCTGAGACGCAACTAAGGCTAAAACCCCTCTTAAAAGGTTATTTACCCAAATGAAGCTGTAATCCTAACATAACATAAGAAACTGGAATCGTTTGCGCAAGAGACTATTGAAAGTCTGGAGTCGTATATTGACGCATACTACGACCAAATGGCAAAACCCGAGAACAAGCGTGGAAGGAGCGAATTGAGCTCAAGTGGCACAGAGGAGGAGTCTATGCTCACCACAGAAATGCAAAGTATCAAAGACGCTTTAGACGGCGTAAACAGCAAACTTCAAAAGCTGGATATGCTAAACCAACTCTCGGAGGATGTAAAAGACATGAAGCAATCCCTGGAGTTCTATATAGCTATGGTCGACGTCCTCAAACAAGAGAACGCGTCGCTGAGATTAGAGGTTAACAATCTCAAACATCTGACCACTGAACTTCAAGGAAACACTACCAAAATGTCAGAAAGCATTTTGGATTTACAGAGTCGGAGTATGCGAGATAATATAATAATTCATGGTGTGCACGAGATAGTGAAAGAAGCTTACCAAGTCACAGAGCAGCTGGTGAAAAAGTTCATGACGGAGCAGCTGAAAATGGAGCAAACAGTGGTGCAGAATATTCAGTTTGCCAGAGCGCACCGGATTGGAAAACCAAAAGGAGCGAAGGACAAACCTAGACCCATCGTGGCAAAACTTGCGGTGTCGAAAGATAAATCCACTATTATGGCAAGAGGTCGGGAGCTGAAGGGATCCACTTTCTCCATCACGGACCAGTTCCCCCCGGAGATAATGAAGAGACGAAGACTACTTTATCCAGTCATGTCAGAAGCAAGGAAAAATGACAAAAAGACGCGTCTTATTGTGGACAAGCTCTACATTGATGGAGCTCTATATCGGAAATCTCAGATTACATACTGGTTGACTGGAGGGGATGACGCCGGCAACTAGCAGCATGGATAGAAAACGATGTAAACAACGCGCGATCTGATGACGTCACACACATCTGGTCTCTAGGCAACGAGCCTAACATTAAAATACCTGGCTTTACGTGGCCATTGGGGTGGACATGAGGAGACCCCGGACTCATGGACTGGGCTTAGCTACTTAAAGTGGTAAATTTGAGCATAAAGAAGAAGTGTGAGGGGGACAAGCTGTCTTGGGGTAAGTTCTTGTGTTGGGATCAAGGTATGGGGAGGGCATACTTACCCTCTACTCTAGGGAAGAGTAAAGGCCAATGGAAGACTGTAGTTTTAGAGAGAGGTGGGGTTGTACTTGGCTGGGGTGTTTTCTGGTTGGTGATGTGCGTTGGTATGTGTGGGGCGAGTATGTGTGTGTGGTTTGTGGGTATGTGTGGAAAGAATTTGTTTTGTTGGGGCACTACATTATATTTATAAAGATTTCACTAGTTAAATGGATAATATAAAAAAAAAGTCTATTGGAATTTCTTCATTTAATTGTAATGGTTTAGCAAATACCTCTAAAAGGAATGAAATTTTTACTTGGTTAAATGATAAAAGTGACATTCAAATTGCTTGTATGCAGGAAACACGTCTTGGCTGACACGTCTCTGCAACATCGCGTGGCGATCGGGGGCGGTGCCAATGGAGTGGCAGACCGGGGTGGTGGTCCCTCTCTACAAGAAGGGGGACCGGAGGGTGTGTTCCAATTATCGTGGGATCACACTCCTCAGCCTCCCCGGTAAGGTCTACTCCAAGGTACTGGAGAGGAGGCTACGGCCGATGGTCGAATCTCGGATCCAGGAGGAGCAGTGTGGTTTTCGTCCCGGTCGCGGAACACTGGACCAGCTCTATACTCTCCATCGGATACTCGAGGGTTCATGGGAGTTCGCCCAACCTGTCCACATGTGCTTTGTGGATTTGGAGAAGGCGTTCGACTGTGTTCCCCGGGGTGTCCTTTGGGGGGTTCTCCGGGAGTACGGGGTCGGGGGTCCTCTGCTGAGGGCCATCCGGTCCCTGTATGACCGGAGCCAGAGCTGTGTTCGCATTGCCGGCAGTAAGTCAGACCTGTTCCCGGTGAATGTTGGCCTCCGACAGGGCTGCCCTTTGTCACCGGTTCTGTTCACTGTATTTATGGACAGAATATCTAGGCGCAGCCAGGGGTCGGAGGGGGTCCGGTTCGGGGACCACAGGATTTCATCTCTGCTGTTTGCGGACGATGTTGTCCTGTTGGCTCCAACGAACCAGGACCTGCAGCATGCACTGGGACGGTTTGCAGCCGAGTGTGAAGCGGCTGGGATGAGAATCAGCACCTCCAAATCTGAGGCCATGGTGCTCGACCGGAAAAAGGTGCCCTGCCCTCTTCAGGTGGGTGGAGAGGTCCTTCCTCAAGTGGAGGAGTTCAAGTATCTCGGGGTCTTGTTCACGAGTGAGGGAAGAATGGAGCGTGAGATTGACAGGCGGATCGGTGCAGCGTGCGCAGTGATGCGGTCGCTGTATCGGACTGTTGTGGTAAAGAAGGAGCTGAGCCGAAAGGCAAAGCTCTCGATTTACCGGTCAATCTTCGTTCCCTCCCTCACCTATGGTCATGAGCTTTGGGTAATGACCGAAAGAACGAGATCGCGGATACAAGCGGTCGAAATGAGCTTCCTCCGCAGAGTGGCTGGGCGCTCCCTTAGAGATAGGGTGAGGAGCTCAGTCACACGGGAGGAGCTCGGAGTAGAGCCGCTGCTTCTCCACGTCGAGAGGAACCAGTTGAGGTGGCTCGGGCATCTGTTCCGGATGCCTCCTGGACGCCTCCCTGGGGAGGTGTTCCGGGCACGTCCCACCGGGAGGAGGCCCCGCGGAAGACCTAGGACACGCTGGAGGGACTATGTCTCTCAGCTGGCCTGGGAACGCCTTGGGGTCCCCCCGGACGAGCTGGAGGAAGTGTGTGTGGATAGGGAAGTCTGGGCGTCTCTGCTTAGACTGCTGCCCCCGCGACCCGGCAACGGATAAAGCGGAAGAAAATGGATGGATGGATGGATGTATGCAGGAAACTCACTCTAACTCAGAAAATGAGCTAAAATGGAGATCTGAATGGGGAGGGGATATATATTTTAGTCATGGTTTAAAAAACAGTAGAGGTGTTATGATTTTGATTAAATGTAATGTAGATTATACACTGCACTCCGTATCTAAAGATAAGGAAGGTAGATGGATTGTAATAGATATAATGATAAATAACTTGCATATTATTTTAACAAATATTTATGCTCCTAATGAGGACAATCCATTATTCTTTGGTGAAATTAATACATATTTAAGCTCACTACAATCTAATCAAATTATAATAACTGGGGATTTCAATACAGTCTTGGATATAAATAAGGATCGAAGTGGTCTACATAAATTTAATAATCATCCCCATGCACTTAGGGAAATTAAAGAAATGGCTGCAGCATTAGATCTTGTTGATATCTGGCGTCTGTTAAATAAAGATACTAGGTATACATGGCGCAGAGGAAAGCAGGCTAGTAGAATTGATTATTTTCTCATTCCCTTCTCATTGGTTCCTAGAGTATTAAACTGTTGTATTGGTGACTGCTTGAGATCTGACCATAGTCTGGTTACATTGCTGATTGACAATCCGCAATGTTCCAGAGGACGGGGTTACTGGAAATTCAATGTATCGCTTCTAAATGATAATTTGTTCCTCGATATTACCAGGAGATTTATTAAGGAATTTTTTGAACATAATGAAAACTCCTCTAATCCACATAATGTTTGGGAAGCCTTTAAATGTTCCTTTAGAGGACATGCGATTAAGATGGGAGCAATTAAGAAAAAAAGAAACCTAAAACAAGAACAAGAACTTATTGAGGAAATAAATGAGTTACAAAAATTATTAGATAGATGTTACACAACTGAAACAGAAATATTAATTAAAAGAAAACAAGGTCAATTGGAGAGTCTTTATCATGAACGGGCAAACAGAGTTATTTTTAGGTCACATGCTGCTTGGATGGAGAAGGGAGAGAAGTGTACGTCACATTTTTTACAGTTAAACCAAAGAAATTCTGTTAAAAAGAATATCATGAGTTTATATAGAGATAATGTCTTAGTCACAAATTCACAAGAAATATTACAGGAAGAATTTGAATATTTTAAAGCTCTATATTGCAATGATGCAATACTGGAGCCCCTTAGTGATGTGACAGAGCAATATTTTCCTTTAAATAATGTCTCTGTGCTTTCTACTTCCCAGCAATTAAGCTGTGAAGGAGAAATAACAGAACAGGAGTTACTAGAGGCAATTAATTCGTTTTCATCTGGTAAATCTCCTGGTATCGACGGTATTCCTACTGAGATGTATAAGATTTTTTTTACAGAAATTAAAAAACCCCTATTAGCATCTTTCAATTTTTCATTTCAACAGGGTATTTTATCCAATTCACAAAGAGAGGGAGTTATCTCAATACTCAAACAAAATCCTGATGGGAAATATAAAGATCCCAAATTGTTAAAAAATTGGCGTCCATTGACCCTGCTCTGTTGTGATACTCGTATTTTATCTAAATGTATTGCTTTAAGAATAAAAAACATAATTGGAAGTATTATAAATAACGATCAAGCAGGTTTTATTAAGGGAAGATTTATTGGAGACAACTTGAGACAAATACTTGACACGATATATTTTTATGAGAAACATCAGGAACCAGGATTATTGTTTATTGCTGATTTTGAAAAGGCATTTGACAAAGTTCAATGGAAGTTCATAAGACAATGTCTTGTTTTTTTTAATTTTGGAAAAAACTTAATCCAGTGGTTTGAAACGCTTTATAATCATCCGATTAGTAGAGTGATTAATAATGGTCATATATCAGATACATTTTCATTAACACAAGGAGTCCGTCAAGGGTGTCCTCTGTCACCATATCTCTTTATTTTATGTATTGAAATTCTAGCTATTAAAATTAGGAACAATCCAGATATACCAGGTCTATTTCCAAACGGCCAAGAGATTAAACTGACAATGTATGCTGATGATGCAACCTTTTTTATAAAACCAATACAATCCACTTTGGAAGGACTAATAAAGGAATTAAATAAGTTTTCAAAAATATCTGGATTGAAACCTAATTTTGCTAAATGTAGTATTTTGAGAATTGGGATGTTAAAAGACACTAATTTCATTTTAAACTGTTCTGCTCCTGTTAAATGGACTAATGGAGGAGTTGATACTTTGGGGATTCATCTACCTGATGACTTTAAAGAAGTTGTTAAATACAATTATGAGAGAAGGATGGAAAAGGTAGATAAAATTTTACAACCTTGGAGGGGGAACTTTCTGACAATTCAAGGGAAAGTAACGTTGATTAATACATTAGTAATCCCACAATTTGTCCACCTATTAATGCTTCTTCCCTCACCTAGCATTAAGTTCTTCAAGCACTTTGAACAGAAAATTTTCAAATTCATATGGAATAATAAACCAGATAAAATTAAAAGGCAGTATCTATATAATTCCTATGATAATGGCGGACTGAATTTAAAAAATCTTCAAATGATGGACTGTTCCTTGAAGGCCTCCTGGGTTGCTAAAATGTATCATAATGAAAAGTGGATTACGACCCAGAGATTATATTCAGCCTTTTCCTTCTTCTCGAACAATATATTTCCTTTTTACCAATTAAAAACAATACATATTGATAAACTATTTCAAAATTGTTTAAAAGAGTTATCACCATTCTTCAAGGATGCATTAAAAGCTTGGTTGAATTTCCAGTATCATCCTCCAGATACAGCTCAAGATATTCAGACACAGTTGCTATGGATGAATTCAAACATTACTGTTGGAGACAAACCATTGTTGTGGGAGGAATGTGTTAAAAATGGGTTAATTTTTGTCAATGACCTTTTAGATTTATCTGGAGATTCGATTTCTTATGAAAATTTGAAAAGATCTTTTAACATTTCTCTCGATGAGCTACAATACAACCAGCTGATTTC